TTATAAGATCTTTAATGAATTGGTAGGTCATTTAGTTGGCTTGTACATAATATGTTTGTAAAGTAGACATGAGCTTGCTTAAATTATAATTATCAATTAATTAATACAACCTACAAATAGAATAGGATCTAAAATAAAGATACTCACATATCACTAAACCGAAGGAAAAATCATCTACAAGTCGAACATCAATCTCATCCATAGACATGTATGGATTATTTTGTTCCAATTGGGCAACGTAAATATTATTGAGAAATAACAACATATTTGAGTGAGTTTTTTTTATTATGATTGCTAATTAAAGAGGTCAAATATTGACATTAAATTGTAAAAGTTTTTTTACACTCTTACTCAATGTAAGGTTTAATTTCATCGTAATTCAATAGTATATATTGATGGGTTGCTTTTTTGCTCTTCTTTTGGTAACCTTCTTATTATTTTTCGACCAAATGATTGATCTTGAGATTTGAACATAAAAAGCATCCCTTCAATGTTGACATTCGATTCTCCACCACACTCAATGTTACATAACACTTTTCAATGCCTAGTATACACATAAGGCTCAAAGTAGTGTGAATAGAATAATGATGCTTCTTTCACTAAATATGCATTGTATATTGACCATTCAATCATTGATTTATTCTTTACATTTCTTTTAAGCTTTTGAAGATACATAAAACCTAAATTAAGTTAATGATTGATAATTGAAAAATGATTTAAGTTAACATTCAAAATCAATATCATTACTTTTCAAATGGATATATCTATCAATATTTCACTAGTCCCGTTATCCTTACTTCATATGCCGAATGGATTAGAAGATGTTCTATGGAGTTAAATAAACTTGATGAAAATATAAACTCTATTTTGCACAAAATTAGTGATATCTCTGCTTCAAGATGAATCATATCTTCAATCTTTATGAAAGTAGAGAATCAAATCCTTGAAGAATAAGCTCAACTCGGTTAGTACTTGCTAAACATTTACCGATAATAGTTACCATAATGAAATAGGTACTAATCTTTGTATAAATACATATCAGTCATGACTTTCTATATCATACAATTTGTGTTTGCTCATATTAGCACACCTAGCCATGTTTAAGACATATCTATTAGAGAACCCGAGTTTTTAATAATTCACCATCTTTTTTTGTTTTTTGAACATAAAACTTGCTTTAGGGTATTTTCTTAAGGCTTTATCTCTCGCTAATTCTAGCCTCTAACAAAAATGTTTTAAGTTTTCTCTAGATTTGACATTATTTTTCGTTTTATCTAACACATTCATTACTGTGTTAAACACATTATCAAAGATATTTTTTAATATGCATCATATCTAAATTATGCCAAATAAGATAAGTCAACTAATAAGGTAAATCATAGAAAATACTCTATTTCTTCCAACCACACATTTCTTGATATTTTACGGTTACACTCATCGGTACCTTCTTTTATGACTTTCATCAACCTCTAACTATATATCTACTCTAAAATCTTTGCTCCAAATTAGATTAGGAGAGCAATGATTAAAACAACTCTATTTTTTATGAATGAGTTCTTGTCCCTCTTAAATGGATAGTCCGTAAGGAGGAACTTATGATGAATGTCGGACCACGATATTTTTATTTCTTTAAAAAGATCGAATACATCTAAATTCTTTATGCAATAGGGATAAGTTAATTGTCTTATAGTACCTCAACCTATCAATATTGAATATGTAAAAAATTCACTAATAGTCTACATAACTGTCGCTCGTAATAGAAAATTTTATTTTTGAGACACATCATAGGTAGGCACACCAACTTCCTACAGTTGAAGCACTTTTGAAATTAGGGACTCGTATGTACATCTCCAACATATTTTTTGGATTTATCATTCTAAGCACAACAACGATTAAAAATATATATTCTTCCTTTATACACATCTATGGTGGTAAATTGTAAGACGTGATAATTACCAACCAAAAAGAATATTGTATATTAGAATGAGTCGAAAGGTTAGAACTCATCTCGTGCAAAATCTTAATTTGATATTTATTTTTTCTAACATAAAAGAAGGATTTTTTTTTAATCAAAATGCCATCATACAAGAGAGTCGGACTAATGGCATATTATACCTTCATTCTCAACCTCATCCTCTACGTGCCATGTCATGTCAATAGTTATGACGTTTGACATATACGATCTTTGTAAGTGAGGAGTGAGTAGAAAGTAGTATATTTTTTTATATGGAATAGCTTTTGGTCTCATTGATCCTCATCTTGAACTTTGATATCAAGGATTGACACAAAACTTACAAGTAGTTAATTCGTTATCTTCACTCTAAAAAATCATGCGATCAAGGTTTTAATAGTGGATCTTTCCAATTGGCACCCATCTTTTTCGCCAACTTTTTGGTGTTGTTGAAGTTTTCTATCATATACTTATCAACATGCATCAACTCCTTCATTAGCTAACATAAATCATTGTAACAACTTTTGAAAAAATTATTCACATCTTGACCAAATCTCTCTACTCGATGCATTCAACAAGTCATAAAAACTCTATGCATTGGGATTTGGCACCCCATTGGTGTTAGATGGACTAAATGATTGATCGATCGCTTCTATCATCATTGTTTGATATAGATCGTTAAATGAAAATCTGTTCACTTTCATCATAAATATCCAAACCTAATTTTTTTCCCAGCTCCATTTTCTCATGATAGATCCAATCATAATAGCCGAACATAAAACTATTTTTTCACTAAATGCTATTTAACTGTTTTAGCCTCTTCAAATATAAGTTTCTAACACTTACGACAATTACAAAGACACTTTATCTCTCTACTTGTCCATACATTCGGGATGACTAGTTGCAAATTTAACAAATTTCTCAACCTCGTTATAAAACTCTCATTTAAAGTCCGATTGGTTAATAACCTAAAGTCCATCCATGTACGATCGGACATCATATTTTCCTTTTGAATATCCAAGGTAACACATAATTACTTTATTACCAATTCTACTAAAAATCTAATGAAATTTCAATAGAGCCTCCCCTATAAATTGGATGTTTTCCAATTTCAAGAAACTCATCTACACAAAAAAACTATCTATCTAAAAGAAACACAAGACAACACAACTCATGCAAACATTTTTAATTAATCATCGTCACACAAACTCAATCAAAAGTCACATTCAAGCAATCAAATAAATCAATTATTGCGTACCGAGACCAACACTTGCCCTAGATAATCCATTAAATTAAATATTAAACTTATTCTTCTAACTCTACTGTAGAGTATTAAACCAACCTTATTTGGCTTCAATTATCGAGAGTCTCCGACCTTACGTGTTTGATTCACTATGATGTATTTCGAAATACTTCAAAAATTATCAATAATCTAGTTATAATATTAATTGTTACAACTAATTAAAAATTTCTCTATGGTATAAATTGGAAATTAGGGTTTCGATAACTTACCTTACGAGTAGGAGTGGTTGGAAAATTACTAAAGTCATTGGAGTGACTATTGGTAATGTCACTAACTATACAACTATAATAATTTTGTATATAAATAATTAATATCATAGTTCATACAATAAATAATTATTTATCTATATCAAACAAATTTGACCAAAAATTAATTTATCAAGTTTTAAATCTTAAGTTAAAATAATCAAAATTATGTAAATTTTAAATTAACACCTTAATTTTAATTTTAACATGCTATTTTAAATCAAATAACTTAATTATCAAATGACTCTACCCATATTTTTAATCATTGTATACCAATTACCTACTTAAAATTTTATCCTAATTTATCAACACCCAAACCTAATTAATACAAAATAATTCTAATAAATTAAAAAGATACTTAATTAATTTTTAAATAACATAAATTGAGTTTCTTAACGTATTTACAAATAATTAATTACATAGATACAAATGGATAAGATTTCAAACACCTAAAAAATAATAAAAATTAAGAGTAATATACAAAACTCACACAAATTAAGTATAAAATATGAAATAGGATAATGAAATATACCTAATTGGGCTTCTCTTTCGGTAGAGAAACGAGAGACACATGTAAGGCGGAGGAGATACCACGATTGTTTTTGGGAAAAAAATTGGTTGAAATGGCTGGAGTTTGATGAGGAAGGGTCTTTGTGAGGTGTTTTGAGGGGGTGTTGCGAGCAATGATGATGGTTGGAAATGGCGAGTGGTGAGAGAAGGAGAGGAAGGAGGATGCGGAAAATGGAGAAGAAATGAGAATTTGTAAATTTAGGGACTTAATTTTAGTGATAGACGCGATTTCATTGCTAATCGGCGATAGAGTTAAGTGTCCGTCGCCGATTTATGATTTCAAATGACCGCCTACTTTTAACAAAAAATAGTAACTCACTAACCCAATCCATAACCGATTTTGGTCAAGAAGTAGCAATGGTTTCGTTCCATCGCTAATTGGTGACAACTTTAGCAAATACTCCCTCACTAACCATTGCATAAAAATTAACGATAAATTAAAATATCCGTCATTGAATTTTCTCGCCAAACCATTGTTGAAACAACCATAGATATTTTACCGTTATATTTAATGACGAGTCAAAGAACGAGACATTGTTCGTCGTTGACTATCCATCGCGAAGTGGTTAGTAGTCCATAGTAAATCCAACATTCGACAATCGTTCGCTAATCTCTTGTTATTTGGCTGCAGATTTTAAATCCATTATTGAGATCTCGTTGCTATTTGTCTTTGTTTTTTTTTTTTTTTGGTAGCGAGTTGTATTAATAATGAAGCCATTTTAAGAGTGAATCCAAAAAGAGGATGTAGTAATGCAAAAAATGAGCATTTTACTATGGTAATAAAATTGTAGATAATCCAAATCAAAATATTTGAAGGAGGAATTATTTTGACAACAATATGTTTTAAACCAACTCTACGATCTGACTGATATAGGATTAATGACCTATATATTACTAATGCGAATTAGGATTCAAGCTGGGCACTTCCTAATCATGGTTCTGAAGTTATGGATCTCTCTTCATCCTCTTTTATCGTGTTTATCATAACAGAAATTTGCTTTACGCTTGGCCTTTCATTTGGTGACGGATTTATGCACTTCAATGCTACCTGCAACAGGTTCACCATCCTCTCTTCACTAGCACCTTCTGAGATCAACGCCCTGTCAAAAACTTCAGCAGTCCATTCTTCTCTAACCACCGAATGCACCCAGCTTGCCAAATCAAACCCATTGTCTTGTACTAGTTTCCCTGTCAAAAGCTCAAGAAGAACCACACCAAGGCCATAAATATCCACCTTGAAGGTGCTATATGCGCCATCTCTACCCAAAGCACCGCTTTTGAAGCTATCAGACTGAGAAAGGAATGATTGGTCTTGGCCTTGAATCACAATAAGACCATATTCGCTAATGCAGGGCTCCATGTTCTTGTTGAGTAAAATGTTGGTGGATTTCAGGTTCCCGTGAGCAATCCCATCTTCTTGAAGCTGTTCATGCATGAATCCTAAGGACTCGGCAATAGTAGCTGCAACATTGAGCCTGCTGGCCCAGTCAAATACTTGCCCATTCTGGGATCCTAAACTCATTAACCACAATTCCAAGTTATTATATGAACCGTGGTACTTTCTTGTATGTAGCTTATATTATTGTTTCATAGTTATGAAATTGCTTAGACCTAAGGAAAGGATGAGAAAAAGGGTTTTGCTCCGTACAATTTTGAATTTTTTTTTATTGAAACTCTAAATTTTTTTTCTATTTAATTTAAGAGATCTATTCTTATATTGTCAATGTTTCAAATATTAATATATCATATAAACACACGTGGCTAGCTTTAACCAATAGCATTTTATCACATAACAATTTTTATTTTCGTTAAAACCCAATTTAAGCCCCATCATGACATATGACAAGCTGACACTAGTTAGGGCTTGCCAAGTGTGTTTACATGGTATCTTAAGAATTGAAACAACAATAACAACATAAGAGTAGAATTTCTAAATTTGATAGAAAAAATTAAATTTAGAATCTTAATAAAAAAATCTGAATTATACGGAGTCTTTATATAAGCAAAATCCAAGAGAAAAAAAGAAAAAACAAATAATAGTTGCCAAGAATATACAAATCTGTGGCATGGTATGGTATTTCGAATGAGATTTTTAAGTTGAAGTAATCCATCAAGCAACCCAATAAACTCCAGTCAGACTGAACTTTACCATGTATTTGGGTTATAAGTTTATCCAGTGGGATTTTAATTTTCGTCAAATCATCTTCATATTTCTTCTAATTGCATCCCCAGGTGCGTGCACTTAATATTGTGAAAATTTATATCATCCTAATCCTATTGCACTTTTCAATTTCACAACGTCATCCATATCCTAAGAATACCTTTCCAGTTTCCACCATTAAAATTATGTAATATTACAATTTATAATACTACTACAGATGATAGACTTACCATGAAGAAGCTTCAAGAGACTGCCATTCTGCTGATACTCATATACCAGGAGCTTCTCTTGCTTGGAGCAATAAAATGCTACCGGAGGCAATACTCTGGGATGCTTCACTTGGTCTATTCTCTGCATTCTCCTCTTGAAGTCTGCTGCCGAAATACCCCAGTCTCTGATCCTCTTCACTACCAAGATGGTAGCAGTATCGAGCATGACCTTATATAAACTTCCATGCTTTCCTCTACCAAGCAACTCAGCTGGAGCTCGAAGCAAGTCCTCAAATTTCAAACCATTCCCCACAGGACTGGGAAGAACAACAAGTGATGATGATGTCATTCCAGCTTCAACGGATGTAATTGAATATTCTGATCTATTCTCTGATCTATTACCACCAGTTTTGAATTCACTTGAACCACTAGTTGGTTCTTTACTAACATTAGCTACCTTCTCCTCCTTGACAACCTTGACTGTGTCTTCTTTACGCTTATTTTTCTTAAATAAATATAAAACAAACAACAGCAGCAGAACCATGGCAAGTATTATATAGCCTGAGTAGATAAGGAAGCGATCAGCTGATGAATGCTTTGATCCTTTTTTTGAAGGTGGGCAGGCTTTTGATAATAGTTTCCCACATAATTCAGGGTTACCTGAGAAGCTGTTTGCCCCAAACTTGCCTTTGACATCAGGAATTGGACCACTGAAGTTGTTGTTTGCAACATTGAATTCCTCAAGATAGGAGAAATCAAAATCCGGTATTGCCCCATTGAGCCGATTGTTTTCAGCAAAGAAGGTTAACAGGCCTGAAATCCGAGACATATCAACAGTAAGCTCGCCAGAGAAGTTGTTGTTGGATATGTCAATCCTTTTCAAGTTACGTAACTGAGAAATAGTGTCAGGGATATCACCAGTAAATCGGTTCCCTCTGAAATACAAGTGGCTTAGACGTTTGCAATTTCCTATCCCTTCAGGTATGAAGCCAGAAATATTGTTCCCTTTCAGACTCAAGACAAGAAGAGAATTTGCCTTGCATAGAGAAGCTGCATCAAAAGTTCCTGTTAATTTCAACTTATTAAGAACAATCTTCTTAACATTTTGGGATCCCATGCAGTCCACACCTTTCCATGTGCCATTGAAATTGACATTGCCATTGCAGGGATCCGAGCTGACGTTCCAACCCCAATTCTGATCGTTCTGCGAATTCCCTGCTGAAAGTTTCTCCATGAATTGCACCAGTGCCTGCATGACATTTATATCTTCTGAATTTGACATAGGAAGGATGAGAAAGATCAAAATGGGGAGCACCAATTTGAGAATTCGATCCATTTTTTGGATGAACTAAGTGAGTTTAGCGAAAATGGCACTAGATTGTGGTTTCTCTTTTAAGAAGATGGCCTCTGAGTGGCTAGGTATGTAAAGCAGAGAAGAAAGGAACCGAATTGATGTTGTTGCTTGAACCAGCTTCGAGTGCCAAGTGGCTGAATTTACGAAGAGAGTTCGCATTATTCTAAAATTGATTGCCCATAAGGTCTCAGTGAAAGATGCCAAAACACCTAAAACAAGATTGTCAAATCAGGAGCCAGCCGGCAGACTTAACTAGTCATAATATTCAATGTTGTGTCCTTCTCAGTTGGTTTCTATAACAGTGCTTTAGATTTCAGTTAATGATTATAATCAAAATGATACAACTGTCACTTTCTTGTTGATGCCTAATAACAAAGAAAGAGAAACCTTCTCTTTGATGCTATGATATTTCCATTCTCTATATTGTTGAACTTTGCACGTCGTTGATACATTTTCAACGGCTTCTAGACCATTACTGTTGAAGATGTCAAACTTTTCGACAGCTTTATTATATAAACGAAGTTAACAAAAGCATTTTGACAGCCGTCAATTACATTTGCTGCACCAAATTTTCATTTTTTTTTTTAAATTTAAGTGTGTATTTTTTTATTTAATTAGATTAATTTGTAATTATTTTTTTATCTTTAGAATATTTCAAATCTTAAGATTCGGACTAATCTCTCGTTATTCAATCAATCGCATAATGTGATCACAACAATTCAATAAATTTTCTACATACATAATGACTCGAAAATAAAACTATTTACCTAATCGACTAAAATTTCTTCCATTCAAAACAATGTAATTTATAATTTTTTTTAACTAAACTCATTGTTTGTTATCTATGCATGTGCCACCATTACATAAATATCATCTCCATTGCATGACAAAAATATGGCAACCACGTGACCAAAACGTGGCAAAAAAATATATATATATATATCTCTATCTCTCTTACTCTTTTCGTCTCTATCTCTAACTCTCTCTATGCTCGAAGAAGGGAATAAGTGGAAGGAGAGAGGAGTTAGGACTACGAAGCTTTTGAAACATAGAGAATTTGCCAAAATTCATCTTCTTTTGTAGAAATATATAGAGTGGATGGAGTGGTGTATTTGTAAACATATGAAAAGTAATTAATCGGTTACAAAGTTAGTAGAATTAATTAAGCATAGTTAGTTAGTAGAGTGAGTTAGCGAGTTAAGCTAAAGTGGGCTTAATATAAAAGCCCTCTCTTTGCATTAGTTTATTTTTATTTTTATTTTTATTTTTTATTTTTGTAAAAAAGCAAATTTCCTATGTAATTGTTGGTGTTGAGAAGAATCTATATGTCTCTACCAAAATCTTCATCTTTTTCCTTTCTTCTTCAATTTCTTGTTTTTGATTATTTTCATGGTATCGAGTAAAACAATCTTGTATAAGGAATCTTTCTTTTGTAATTTTTCAACTTCTCTTTGCTCATCAATGGTGATTATGGTAAGCATGAGTGAGAGTATTGATAACTCAACATTACCCATGATTGTTTCAAATCCTCCGATACTACTAAGTTCGATGTACCTAGAATGGTTCTTGCGAATCGGCCTTTGTTAGAAGCTTCAAATTATATTCCATTGTGTAGATCTTTGGAAATTGCCCTCGCATGCAAGAACAAGCTTAGGTTTGTCAATGATTTTATTTTGAAGCCAAGACATGAAGATCTAAATCTAACATAGTGGGAGCGAGGTAAACAATATGGTGATTTCTTGGTTGATTAGTATGGTTCCTAAAGAAATTGGAAAATCCATATGGTAGTATCACAACCATTATGTAGTCAAATTTGCAAAAACGGTTCTCGAACGAGTGTTGGTTCTATGATATATGGCCTCGTAAAAGGCAATTTCATCTTGCAATCCGAGAGAATATAAGTATTAAGACATACTACACCAAGCTCGAGCGAGTTATAGGAAAAGTTAGAAGCTATGGCTCATATTCCAACTCTGTAAATCAAATGTTCAATGCAACGTTATGGAAGCGTAGAAGGAACGAAGGATGAACGAAGCTAATATAGTTCTTGATGGGATTGAATCATAGTTTCAAACCCGTCGAGCATTAAATTTTCTTGATGAAACCTTTGACATGTGTTGAATATGCATATTCTATGGTTCAACAAGAAAGGAAGCAAATGGATATATCATAATTTATACCTATAAAGGATGTTATAGTTGCTCTTATGACTAGGAACAACATGAGTCAACATTAAAGGTATCAAGGAAATCAAAACCAAAGGAGCCGGATGTAGAATGCAAATGTAAGGAAAAATCTATGGTGTGAGCACTATCAAATGTTCGGGCATGTGAAGGCCAAATGTTTCAAGCTAAATGGATATCCCTCTAATTACAAACCAAAAGGGAAGCGAGAATGCAAGAAATTTTCAAGGAAACTTTCAAGGAAATTTTTAGAAAGTCCAAAGCCACAATATTGAGTATGGTGAACAAATAATCATACTAGTACAACTAATAGTTTGCCTCTAATAGGATCAAGTGGTAGATATGCCAATGCTAGGAACATTGTAATGCCTTAAAACAACAATGCCAATGCCAATCTCCAGTTCAATCCTTAGTTTATCCCTAGCTAAATGAACCAAATACTTAGCTTGTCAAACATAACCAAACCCTTCTAAATCAAGTTCACCACCTAACAGGTATAAGTCATTGTTTCTTTATGTCACATAAGCTAGATGATTGGATTATTGATAATGGTGTCATTAATAACATCACTAATTGTTTTTATCTTTTAGAATCACCTAACAAACTGTCCAAACCTCACTTAGTTCATTTGCTTGATGGTTCTACCGTATATGAGACACACATAAGAATAGTTTGCACAAATCCCCTAATCACTTTGCATAATGTTCTTTTTGTTTTAATTTTTAAACATGACCTCTTGTCTATCAATAAGCTCATCAAAGATTCGACTACATTATCACCTTTAATTCCAATTCTTACAATATGTAAGATCATATGCTTGAAAGCGATTATGGAAATTGGCGAGAGAATTAGATGTGTTGTATAATTCTACCAATAAAGCACATGAGTAAAAATTTTCCTTCCATAGCTTCAATTGTTCAAAGTCATGCCATAAATTCTTTAGATAATTCTATTTTATGACATCATAGATTGAGTGATGCTTTTTTAATAAACTTTAACATCTCATTTTATTATTCTAGATTTACGTGATGTAAAACATATGGATTGTAATATCTACCCTTTAGCTAAACAATCCAGGTTACCTTTCAATAAAAGTGATGTATCTTCTTCCAAAGCTTTTGATATTATTCATTGTGATATTTGGGGACGATATAAGATCCCAACACATTATGTTTTTTGTTATTTCTTAATATTTATTGATGACTTTACTAGAAACACTTGTACTTATTTGATGGTTTCTAAAAGTGAAGTCCCTTCATTATTGCAATCTTTCTTCAACCTTATTTAAAACCAATTTCATAGTGAAGAATCATGCATCCTATAGAGGTGCGAAATAAAAAAAAATTCTTCCATCTACGGCTCCTAAGATCAAGTTGTTGAATCAACTAATCATACATACATGAATTAAAGCATATGTAAAAGATCACCTCTCATACTCGTAGAATTTAACCTTTAGAGAGAAGGAGTCATCCAAGTGTTCGACCTCTATCGATAATTTACGACATCCAAACAACCATACAAGAACCACTCGAAGTTATAGAGTGTTAGCTCCACCATTTTCTAACTTGTTTGACGTTTTCTCTCTATAAATCTATTCAATGATATTTTATGATAACTCTAAGAGAGAAGGGGAGAGGTGGAATGTGTATGAGAGGGAGAAAACTATTTTATCTTTGTTTTACCTTTTACCGTGTATGCCCTAGCTCAATCCTCTCTTTGTCGCACCTCTCTCTTGTTTATAAGAGGTAATGTCTTTCTTGTCCTTTAAGGACAAGGAAATGGTAACATTAAGTCCCAAAAGGACTCTTGGTTATTGTTTCATAGTCCTTCAAGGATTAAAAGTTATAATGCATATGGGCTTTTTGATCTTATCATTTTAAATCTTGATCCTTATCCATTAAGATTCATGTTTATCATCCCACCAAAATATCTTTTAGGTTTTTAAATTAAACCTATTGGCCTAAACTATTTTAGCTTAATTAATTACCAACTAATTTGGACTATCCAAATAAATTAGGTTAGATATATTTTTTTTAAGATGCCCACATTAAGAAGCAATTTTTCAAATTATCCTTAAACCTAAATTAGAAAACTAGTTTCTTTTTTAGGTACCTTACTTCCAAATTTGAAATTTGTTTTCAAATTAGGAAATTGATTTTTAAAATAGAAAATTTTTCATTTTAGAAAACCTTTTTCCAAAATTGAAAACTTACAAAATTGAAAAGCTTTTTCAAAATATTTGCTTCTCTTTTATTATGTGAATACTTAAACTTATGTGTGCTACTCAATAAGCTCCTAGATATGTTAGCAATGTATTAAAAATAAAAGACACATCTTTTATATTTTGATACACAAATCAAGATTGACATCTAGCAAGGCTTCCCGACTATCTAATTCTCTAGGAGGATTAATTAATCTATAATTACCTTTCACAAGCATAGCTATCATACAAGTCGATCCTAATGTCAATTTATCACATTGTGATTTTGAACTTAGTTATTAGTCTATTTGATATTGATCATACAAGTTTTTGTATTCCTAAATATCTCGACTTTTAGAGTAAATCAATTATACTCTATTAATATACTCCTACTATGACCACATATTTCTTAAGTAGACATTTATTAAAGTATAACGTGATAACTCTTTTAACATATAAGGAATGACATGTCCTATCCGAGTCATCCACCTATCTTCATTAGATTTTTAGTGCACCCAACGAATCATCCATGTATAACTCTCTAGTGGGTCAATCAAAATGAGTGTCAAAGTATATAAATCCTCTAATGAGATAAACAT